TTGGCACATAGGAAACATTTTGTAAAAAATTCTTTAGTTTTATTACCGTACAAATAATTCTGTGTCAATTACTACATTGTTATACTTGTTTGTTTGCATGTGTATCTCACCAAAAAAGAGAAAAGCTCTTGAGGGAAAACAACATTCCTTAGTCCATTTTTCCAATGTCTGCCTGACATTTGCAAGTGCTCAATATTCTAGCCATTCTCTCCACTTCCTTGAGGACAGAAGAAGGTAGGTCTGCTAAGTTACCACTTATTAAGCAACTACTAAGTGCCAAGCACTTTACATTTTTTTTTAATTTATTCTTTACAAGAAGACATGACAGACAACAGACTTTTACAAATGATGAAACAGTTTGAATAAAGCTAAGTAAATTGCTTTTTAAAAAATGTGCAATTAAAAAAATGCACTGTTAGAGATGTAGAACTTAGTAGTAAAACACCTGCTTTGCATGTGTAAGACCCTGGGTTCAATCTCCAGTGCTGCAATAAATAAATAAATGGATAAATAAAATTAAGATACACAGTTAATAAGCAACAAAGAAGGTACTCAAACGAACTCTGACTGTGAGGCATTTGCTCTTGCCAATACGGCAGTACCTATCAGCAGCCAGCAAGTGTCCACTCAACTCCCAGCCTGGGCTCTGCTGAGCTCCCCTGTATCCTGTAGACATTTCCTGGAGGTTTGTAGCACACAAGCCTGCAAGCAGGAACAGGTGTGTGGATGTGTGCTCTGGGCCTGGGGACAGGAGCAGGGGCCCTGCCTTTGGATTCATATGCACACACCCGCTTCCAGGTCTCAGCTGTCAACTCCTCAAAGGCTTCCCAGTCAACCGAGGCCACATTAATGTCGAAACTAACCTGGTGTACACAAAAGCTCCTTAGTAAAACAGCTCCTTTTTCTACAGTCTTCCTTTGTTCATAAGTTTCTGTCACTGGGAAATGAGTGCTTGAGAAACCTTAATTGGTCCAGCTTGGGTTGAACCTGGGAGATAGTGTTTTAGTTTGCCCCTGGCTTCACCTTGAAGCATGAAAATGGATTAGAGTTCTGTATTCCACAGTGCACGCACTCACCACTACCTCCCCTACCCTCACGGTTTCAAAGATTTGCCTTCAGGACAGAAGATGGATGTGAATGAGGGAAAAAAATTTCCAAGAAGTCCTTAAGTTTTACCTACTGCTAATCGGTATTGTCGTCATGTGCTACATTAGGCTCCCATAAGATTATATAATGGAGAATGAAGAGTAATTTAAAATCAAAACAGCAGCAAAAAAAAAAAAATTATATAGCCTAAGTCAGGCATGGTGGCCTGTACTCTCAGCTACAGGAAGCTGAGACAGGAGGATCACAAGTTCGAGGCCAGCCTCAGCAATTTAGGTAAGATCCTGTCTCAAACTAAAAAGAGCTGTGGATATAACTCAGTGATAAAGCACCCTTAGGTTCAGCCCCCAGTAAAGCAAAATAATGAAATATAGAAAGGGCTGGGGATATAGCTCAGTGGCAAAACACTTGCCTAGCAATTATGAGGCCCTGACTTCAATCCCTAGTTTAAAAAAAAAAAATCTACAGCCTAGGGACATTGCAGCCATCTTAGTTCAAGTACACTCTACTTGATGTTCACACAATGAGGAAATCACCTAACAGCCAGCGCATTGTTAAGCAATGCATGTCTAGGGTAGCTATTTGTCTCTAAATATTGCAGCTATCCTGAACCCTAAGCAAAGACAAGAAAAAGAAAAATCAATGCTTTATTACACCAGCTGAAAGGACTGCAATTTTGATCTTTAAAACATAAGAAATCAATGTTAATTGTTTGCCTGCTTTATGAGATGACCTTTCATCAAGTAACTGATCACGTGCTTCGAAGTATTAGAAGCAACTGCAGAAAGAGTCCACAATAACTACCTCATTATTGGATAATATTAGCTCCCCCTACCCCTCAGGACAGTGGCAAAGAATAAATGAGATCACAGAAAGACCTCAGCAGTGTAGGAAACGCTGTCATTAATGAAAGGGTACACTGTCAAAGGGGCCCCCAGGGAGGAGCCTGGCCAGATCCCCACCTCTGCAGAAGATCTCCCCAGAGTCAGGTTATCAAGGTTATCACCACTTGCCTGGGACTGGGACATCACAGGGCAACTTCCCAAATGCTCCAGAGAACTTTAAATTGGGTGGGAATATCTTAGAGAAGAAGTGGATGCTGAGGCTGGTGACGATGGAGCTCTGGGAACTTGTTCTCTCCAGAAGAAATGCACTGGCTGAGAAGAGAAAAGACTAAATCCAGAGAGGCACGAACCATCCAGGAGTTTCTGAGGTGGGCGGTGTCCACAGGGGCCACTTTGGGAAGCGCAGTTCTCACCTCCCTCATACTGCCAGAGCCAGCTGAGGCAAAACACCCTCATCCACCAGGAAGAGTGTGTGGGACTGAGTGGGCTGGGGATGGGAAGGGACAGGATGGAAACCCAGAAGCCTTTTCCAGGAAGAGATTTAGAGGAAAGAATCTTTTATTTTGGAGGAGTGAGTAGTCAATGTAGAGTTCCAAATAGCCATCAAAAGGCAGAGCGCTCTCTAACTGGCAGTCAAGTCCCACAATGCAAGACGGATTGACTCGGACAAAGTAGATGAGGGTAGGTGCATTCAGCACTTTCTCTGCAGTGCCTCAAAAAAAGCAGCAGAAAAATAGGAAATGTTGGTCAGCAACTCGAAGGCTGAGGCAGGAGGATTGCAAGTTTGAGACCCGCCTTCACAATTTAGTGAGACCCTGTCTCAAAATAAAAACAAAAAGTATTGGGAATGTAACTGAGAGATGACACGCCCTTGGGTTCAATCCTCAGGAAAGAGAAATAAAGGAGGGAGGGATGGAGGGAGGGAGGGAGGAAGAGAGGGAAGGAGGGAGGAAGGGAGGAAGGAAGGAGATAAGAAAAGAAGGAAGGAAGAAAAGGAAGTGGGGCGAAGGGTTGGCCACAGGGTGCCAGTCAGAAATGACTGGTGTGCAAGCACAGGGAAGGAAGTTGTGCTGGGGACTGCCGGGGTTCCTTCTCAATTTGAGTACAGTTTTTGAAATCCAGAAAGTCTTTTAAAAAGAGAGTGTAGGCTTCTCTGGGGGAGAGAACAAACTGCTCCCAGATCTCAACTGGGTAAGCATTTTGATAAGAATAATTCATCTTTGTCCTTTGGGGGCCCCATGTCTCCATACATACTCCCTCCAAATTGATGAACTGAACCATTCATTTTGGTTAATAATGGGTATAAAATTAAGAACTAAGGCAGAATTCACAAGAGTTCATAATCTAGAGGTAAGGATTAGAGGTCGAATGACACCTCCCTTGGCTTCAATCTTCTGCAGAGGGGTATAATAGGTTATTTTGCAAAGCCTATTCTATTGATCAGCCCTATCCATGGAAATGGTGAATCTGAGCTGCAACTCTTCTTCCTGTAACTTTACACTGTTCCGTTTCTTATGCTTTCACATATTTAAAGAGTCACCTCCAATTTTCTCTATTTCAGGTCCAACCCCTTTCCTTCAATCAGTTCTTGTAAGGACAGAGGTCATTCTCTTCTGAACTCTAATACCCATTTCCAAAGAACTGGTCCTAATACACCAAATATGATCAAATTCATACACGCTACAATAAGATTTCTTTCTCTCTCTCTTTTTTTTTTTAATCCAAGCATGGTGCTTCCATTAATGAATTTTAAAACTTTCAAAGTGTCCTGTCCTGTTATTGTCTCATATTTGGCTGATTTTTCACATGAAATTCTATCAAATTGCAGGGTGTGGTGGTACACAGCTATAATGCCAGCTATTTGGGAGATTGAGGCAAGAGGATCACAAGTTCAAAGCCAGCTTGGACCACTTAGCGAGACCTGTCTCACTAAAATAAAAATAGAAGGCTTAGGGAATAGCTCAGTGGTACAGCACTTACCTAGTGTGGGCAAAGTGCTAGTTTAATTCCCAGTACCCCACAAACACAAAGAAATCCTATCAAAGTGCGTTCCTGATGGCAACCCTACACTAAAGAAATGAATCTCTATTATCAGTATCACATTTCCTTTTTTGAAAAAAATTTCTCTCGGTTTCCCATTGTTCATAATAGAAGCCACTATTCTGTTTGAAATCAGATTAAATCTTGATTTTAATTAAATTTCCTTAAGCTTTTTTTAAGTTTGATAAAAGTGGCAAAAGCACCTTTGGCTTTTTCAACAGAACTAGATCCAAAACAGAGACCCTGTGGGAAGCCAGCTGAGACCTCATTTAAGTCAACATTAGTAAGGTGGTGGACTTGGCAGAGTGCTTGCCCAGCACGCTCAGGGTCCTGAGTTCAATCCCCAACACCAAACACATATATTGACTTTTGGGGAGGGGCAAAGAAGTTTAACTTGTTAGCACAAACCCCCTTCCATCTACCACGTGTAGCATGGTACGAATCATGCTAGCTGGCCCTCATAACCTGAGCACACAGCTAGTTATATCTGGAATCCTCCGCTGAGCATTTAGGAGCCTCCAAATTCTCCGTGTTCTTTTACATATTCAATCTCATTCCCCATCATTAACCTCAACCACATGCAACGCATTCCAAGCCAGTCAGGCTGGTTTGGTGCCGCCACTGGACACAACACACACTCAACCCCAAGACATGCGGCTTCCTCAGCACAAAATCTCTTCCCCAGCACCGTCCACCCTGTACCCAGCCCAGAAGGCCTGACTAGAGGATGCGAGCTCTAAGTCCAAAGTGTTTGGCTTGCCACACGTGGACACCCCTCCTTGCTGAAGCCGAAAGGCTTTCGGGATCAGCCTTTGGGGTTACGCCCTCATTTCTTGGGTGATCAGCTTGTCTCTTCACTCAAGTCTCCAAGCACAAGGGTCCGGCGCTCTCCTCTGGCTCTTCCACTTCCCAAAGTGCTCGCCCACCGCAGAAGCACGGTCTGACTCAAGCACGTGGCTGGTGCTCTGTCCTGTTTCTCCCACCCACCCGCTCCCTCCTCTGGGATCTCACCTTTCTTCCCGCACTCGAGGGCTCAGGAACCTGCTCGAATCGTCATCATGGCTGCTCTGCTGGCTGCTCTGCTGGCTGCTGGGGAAGACACAGGATACGGACCGTTAATGCTCAACTTCTTTCTCAACCCCGGGGAGCTCTTAGACCTCAACTAGAGGGGAAAAAAAAGGGGTTACAAAACTGAGGCTACAAGTTCCCCCTGTGCAGAGAGTTTAGCACAGAGAGTGTACTATCGGAGGAGGGGTGTGAGAAATGACACAAAAACCCACCCAAGATACCTGAGGATAGTTTTGCTGCCCCAGCTGGAAGATGAAGGTTTTGACCTTGGCCCTGTTCTACCCCAGCTAAATATGCTCATCCAGGGCATCTTAACTGCCCCTCTAAATCTCACTCCGATGGGTAAATGATTCCCGTCGTTCCTCATCCCACTAGAGGCTCCCAAGGAACTGATATAGAATTGAGGAGGGAGGGGCTTAGTAGGGTGTGGAGGAAGGCAAAAGACTTCACAGACAGGATCTGGGGTCACCTGGTCTGCTTTTCAGCCCCCAGGAAGGGCTGAGTAGAGTGAGGTTAAAAAAAAAAAACAAAATAGAAGGAATAAAGGGTGGAATCCCTCTAATCCTCACAGCCCTGCAGGTAAGAAGAAGGACTCTTGAGTTCAAGGTCAGAACTCTGTGAACAGACTCCACCCTTAAGGTGAAACGGAATAAACTGCCTTTCATCTTATTCCAGAGAGAGAAAATCTTTTCAGACACCTCATGACACCATCTATATCATAGATGAATGCTGATTTTTTTTTTCCCCATTTACAAGTATTACCTACTCCAGGCATCTGACAAGGATCCGAAAACTACAGCCTTCGAGCCAAATCTGGAGCCATCTGTTTTTATACAGTTCCATGAGCTAAGAATGGTTTTTGCATTTTTAAAAGGTTGGGGGTAATCCAAAAAAGAATATTTTGGGACACTTGAACATGATGTGAAATTTGAATTTCAGTGTCCATAATGACACTTTATGGGAACACAGCCACACTTGACATTTACGTGGCGTCCTTGATTACTTTTAAGCTATGGTGTCTGAGCTGAGGAGTTGAGGAGTTGAGGCAGAGCCGCGAAAGTTCAGTAGAGGAAAGACTTCAGGAGCCCACAAAGCCCGCAATGTGAACCCAAGGAGTTTTCATGGGAAAAGGCAGACGAACGCAGCTATGCAGAGATTTTATTAATAATAAAGTCCTACTACAAAATTTTTTCCCCACTACTGGGGATTGATCCTCAGGGCAATTTACCACTGAGCTACATCCCCAGGACTTTTTACTTTTTATTTTGAGACAAGGATCTAGCTAAGTTGCTGAGGTCAGCCTTGAACTTGTGATCCTCCTTCCTCAGCCTCTTGAGTGGCTTCGATTACAGTCATATGCCACTGTGCCGGGCTGTAAAGTTTTTCTTCTAAAAACTCACTAAATTATTATTGATTTTATAAGTATCATCATACCCTATTCTGGTATCTTTTTACTACCGGTTTTTCAAAGAATCACAAATGTCTGTATTTTCATTGTTTATCTGGCAATATCAGAATGTATATTTTCTCCCACACACACATTTTGTTTACTTTTCTTTTTTGTGGTCTTACAAATTTTTTTCTTGGTATTCTATTTTTGTGGTATTTGGAGGGTTTATGTATATTTTTCTGAGTTGAGATCATATTAATTGCATAATCATAAATTTCACACACAGCTCATAATTAATAAATAATAAACATGGGTTGGTCTTTACAAGGCCTTCACTTTGTTGTCCAATCCAATTTTTTTTTAAAAAAGAAAGAACAAGAAAAAAGAAAATGAAAAAAGAGAGAAGAACTAGTAAGAAAAAATAAGATCAAAAAATTATTAATATGAATGTCACTACAACCCAAGCAACACTATAACCAAAATCATTTCTTTGTTCTGATAAATTGTTCACTGTAATAAGGCCAAGCGTGGTGGCACATGCCTATAATACCAGTGATTTGGGAAGCTGAATCAGGAGGATTGCAAATTTGAGGCCAGTCTCAGCAACTTAGCAAGGTCCTAAACCACTTAGTGAGTCCCTATCTCAAAATAAAAAGTAAAAAGGCTGGGGATGTGGCTCAGTGGTAACCCCCTCCCCTGGTTTCAATTCCCAGTTTAAAAAAAAAAAATTGTCTACTGCAATAGGTGTGCTGATCTGATCTCTAGAGTACATTCCTTAGGCTAGATTCCCAGCAAACCACAAACTGAACAATCTTAAAGAATTTCATCTCAACCAAAAGGGTACATGAATTATTTGTGGTTATGGTTATACAGTTGTAACCACACTTCAAGGTTCTTCCAGCAAGAAGTAAATGGCTTTGGAAGCAAATTAAGTCAAAATTTTCATACACACAAGGAATCACATACACACACACCCCAGAAACCAGAACAGCACCTACACAAAGCCTCCAGCTTCGAGGCAGAGCTAAGTGCCTACGCAAACCTTTTCTCTTTCCTTTATGCCAAGTGCTTTTTTACTGCCTTTCCAACATGGAGTGTCCGTTCATCATTTTCCCCTGCCAGCTGTGACAAACTTACCTATTAAAAACTCCTCAAAACCAAATCTCACTGAGCTATTGTTGACCCATGGTATTGACTACTGGTATGCATCAAGCATTCTCTCATATACAATCTGGGATAAGTGTTATTCTATGGTAGGCAACCCACAGATGGCTGGAACTCAAATTCCAAATGAGACACAGCTCCAGAAACAAGCCTCGAGAGAAGAGTAGTGACCTACACTTCGGGCAGCCCATGTGAGGAGTAGCAGGAAGGAGGGGTACCTGAAGCCCCATGCTTTATGTCATTGATAATAGTCAATGGGGCTCAACAAACCCAAATGACCATCAACCTCACAGTCTCTTCAAGAAAAAGGTTGACTGACCTTGACCCATTTGAGCCAGGAGAGGTTGGTTCTTTCCACTCACCCTGCCCTCCAGCTTGCAAACATATCTTAACATTAAACTGATTAAGGCCAGACCTAAAATGGCAATGTTAACCAGAGTTTCAGAAAAATAATTGAGCTAATATTACCAAGTTATCCCACTAGATGGCACTGTCGGCTTCCAAACCAGAATCAACCAGGCTGCCTAATACCTCAGAGCATCAAGAACCCCAACCAGGGCCAACCTTCTGGAGCCCCCTTCTGGCTTTCATGTGGCTTGGAAAGTTCTGTCCAAGGAGAATTAAGACAACATTGATTTGCCTTCACACTATTGATTAGTTCCTGGTGATTAAGAAACATCAACCTGCAAGTATTTATAGAATGCCCTCTATGTGTTCTTATGCACTGAGGCAGGGGTTAAGAGTCTAGAATCTCGAATTATGCAGCCTGGAATTGAATGCAAGCTTCACTCCTAGTTACATGATCCTGAGCAATTGATTCAACATCATTTTCCTTATCTATCAAATGGAGATAGATGTCATGATAGTTCTTTCCTTGTAAGGCTCTAGCGAGGTTTTAAGAACAAGCAGGTGAAGCCTGGACAGCAGTGCCTGGCATGTATCCTAATGCAAAATGCCAGCAGTCATCCACCACGAGCAAGGCATTGTTTTGTGAGTTATAGAAATAAAAATAGAGAGAGAGAGAGACATGAAGACATGAATCTAATGAGGATCCTACTCTCAAGGTGTCTGCATTCTGGAAGGGAGGGCTCAGTATAACTACAGTCGAAAATAGCAAATTGTAGCATTCACAAGTACCGGTGAAAGGCTTTGAGACCACAGACTACAAACAGCCGTTCCTTCTGTGGTCAGTAAGAGAAGAAGGTCTTAAGGAGTTTTTGCACTGACACTTAAAACTGGATCCATTCAAGACAAAGAGAAATGAGAAAAAGAAAGCATTGTGGTTGGGCTCCACTTACTATTTTCCATGCACAAAGCCCTGTGGGAATGGGCAAGTAAAGATGACAATGACCTGGCCCCCCCCGCCAGCAGGGGACAACCCCACATACACACACACCTGCACATCTAGTTGGCATGGGTATGTACTGCATACTGGGAGGAAGTAACTCACAAGGGACAGAGTGTGGGTGGTGACACCAACTAGAGTTTCCTGGAACTCTTCAGAGAGGTGAACACTGGGCTGGAAGAACTGCAGGTGAATCTATGGTGCCGTCTTTCTTCCTCCAAGTGTCCGAACAGGGATTTGGTCTTCTCTCATATTTGTTTTATAACAGTCTTAAGTAACTTAAATAATGCCAACCACTTCTCCAACTCAATCCCATGAAATAATATTGTTTTGTGTGGTTTTTTTGGCATTACAAGTCTTAATACTGAAATAATATTGTTGATCAGAATTTCCAGAGATTCAGAATAGTTCATTCTTTGGGGCTCTTGAGAATTAAATAAATGTATTGTGAGATGGATGTGAACATTTGGGGGAGGGATAGAACACAATGGTTTGGTTAAGTGTCCTCCAAAAGTCCCAGGATGGCATCATTGGGAGGTGGAGGGATCTTTTGGTGGGAAAGGGGTACTAGGAGATCCTTAGGTCATCATAACTGTGCTTCAAAGGGGTGTAGGACCCCGTCTCTTTCTATCTTTTTCTCAGAGGTGAGCAGTTTGCTGTGCCACACATCCCTGTCAGGATGTATTGCTCTCACCAAAGGTTCAAAGCAGTGGGACCACCCAATCTTGGACTGGAAACTCTAGAACCATAAACCAAAACAAACCTATTCCCTTTATAACTTAAATTTCTCAACTACTTTGTTATAGTATTGCAAAACTGACTGGTACACCCTTTTCCATGAATGCTTTCAAATGATTTAGGCCACCTGGACCCTGAGCAACTCACACTGCAGCCCTAATGAATTCAAGGCCATGACAAAAGCAACCATTTCCCTAGGCTGTTTACAGAGGAAGGGCCAAAGGCCACAATATCAAGGACCAAGTTCCCATCCACCCCACATTAGTCAAGTCTTTTGTGTCTAGTCTGACTTAAAGAAGTCAGAAAACTACTTGGAAAAAGTCCAGCAGATGGCACTAACAGAAGAAAATGTCTGTTAGACTGAAAAAGTAGCTCTAAACAAGG